AATGACAACAAATACAAAGAGAGAGAGAGGAAGGAAATCAAATTAAATAAACAATTCAAAATAGCCTAATTAATTTTTTTTAAAAAAAAGAAGAAAGTTCGAGAACCAGAATAAACTCGATCGAAGGAAAAATAATTGAAAAAAAACTAAATCCTTGAATTAGAAAAGGGCGAAGGGATACAATTAAAAAAAAATTAATTACAAAAGGCCTTAATTAATCATAATTTGGGGTGTCTTTAAAGTTCATACAATCCAAATTACGTTTAATTGGATGAATTATGAGGAATTGGGGGACCAAAACCCATTTGTGCCCAAAAACCTTAATTCCTACTTATAAAAACTCATTTTTTTCTCCACACACAACAAGCCTCCATCTCCACTAAAATTTTCCAATAGCTATTCCATCCTCTATAACTAGGTTTCAAGCTTCTCCATCATTTAAACCCTTAAGAAACATAATATTCCTCCTTCATCCAAGCCATTATCCTTATTTAAACCATCATCAACCTTCCCCTTTAACTTGACCGACCACCAAAATGCTCGCCACACGGACCCACCCTTCATCAACCAAAAACTCCTAAAAAAACTAAAAAAAGCCTTTCTACAAAAATAAATAAATAATAATAATAAATAAATTCAAAGCATAAAAAAGCGAACCAAACACACCCTTACCAAGCGAGTGAACCCGTTTATCCTCTTACTCGATCAAAACTTCCTCTTCGAATTGGCCACCTTTCGATCGATATTACTTCCAATTGCCACCACTAATGGATAGCTCATCCCTAGATCCACCCATTTCCTTTGATTAAGGGAGGAGAACATATTAGAGAAGGGAGAAATCGAAGCTAGAACCATTACCCTTGTTTAGAAACATAGTCGTATCTCACGATTATGGCTAAACCACCAACTAACACCACCACGGATGTGGTCATCCAACTCCTTTAAGTAATTCTCCTTTAGAATTGCAGCTAAAAGTCACAAAAAAAATAGACTAATTGATGACGACTCATTTTTTTACTTATTTTGTGCAATCCAAAAACAATAGCCAATCAAGGCCAAATTGGACTCCTTAACCACCACAAAAACAGTCCTTTAGCCTCACAAGTTGGTTGATGTCTTAAATTCCTTAGCATCATCAAAATCATCGTCCGGAAGAGGATAAGGTTTGATCAAAATTTTAGAGCCTCCGATCTCCCTCCTATAACATTGGTAGCGACCGCCACCACCACCGTTGAGTTTGCAATGACTTTCTCTATAATGCAAGGTAGTTCACACACTAAAGGACCATCGAACAATGATCGAGCAATCGGTAGTGGTTATTTCATCCTCTAAGGGAATTTTGGTAATTTTAGGTATAAGGGTATTTTTTTCATTTCATAATTGACCAATAGCATTTCAATCACCATATAGCAGACTCCTTGATACCCATAAATAGTTGCTTCCTCCTTCTCGATTGAATAAAATAATCGAGTCGTATCAAGATTGAAAAAGTAAAACTCGATCCAAGGAATGGACTTCTAACATTCTCACGATGTTTGAGTAATTCCCGAACTTATTTGAATTGTTTAAATTATGAATGGATTGTGATAATATTGTGTTGTGAATAATTGTTATGTCAAATACTATGTTGCCCATTTGTCGAAACGAAGTTGACAATGGCTTCCTACTTATATGATTAAAGTTGCATGCAACTTCTAATCAATTTGTATGTCTATTTTTTTAGCTAAAATGGAGCTTCTAATGGCTTTCCACTTATATAGATGAAGTTGTTTACAGACTTCTAAATCATCTTACCTATCTCTTTATTTTTTGGAAATGAAGTCGTCGGTGGTTACCCATCTATGTGGACGAAGTTGCATACGATTTCTAAATCATTTAACCTCGCCTTTTTTGGTATGAAATGAAGCTACCGGTGGCTTCTCATTTAATTGGATAGAGCTATCAATGGCTCTCGAACTAGTTTGACTTAATTTTTGACTATTGAAATGGAGTTATTAGTGGCTTTTTACCTATGTAACGAAGTCATCCGTGATTTTGAAATTAGTTTACTTGTTGTCCGCTTGTCTAAAATGAAACTATCAATGACTTCTCACTTATGTAATGAAGTTATTTATGGCTTTCGGATTAGTTACCCGCTTCTTGCTCGAGCGAAATGAAGTTGTTAATGGCTTCTTACTTATGTGATGAAGTTATCGATAAATTTTTAAATTCATGACTCAAAGTTATCGACGACTTTTCACTTGTGTGAGTGAGATTGTCAATGATTTACTACCAATGTTAATAAAAGGATATCAATTTTTAGAAACCCACTTACTTATCGGTATAGGTTGTGTTCGCTAAAGATTAGGCGAAATTCTAACTTTTCTTATTTTTTTCCCTTTGAGCATGGGTATTGGCCTCAAACCGGTGTAAACCTCGAATTACTCTACTATTTTATCTTGATAAAATAAATTCACTATAATAGGCATAGCAAGCATAACATGGTAAAATCATATATTTTTTTTATTTTCACATGTAAAGATGACAATGATGTTATATCTTCTCCATACGTAATTGACCCCTTACCCAAATATCTATACGGACCGATATATTTAGCATTTTCTATTTCTCTTCAATTATTTAAGTGGCGACTCCTTGTTCGTGCATTTCGCACAAACCCATATCGACAATATTAATGGGCCTATAGACTAAATTCAACTTTTTGACACAATCAAAGACTAGCCTTGATCTTGGGCACCCACCCCGACCCTCGAGTCATCCGGAATCAACCCAACCCAAATCCAAATAAATGTATAATTTTTAATTTTTAAAGTATAATTCTCATCTCAATTATACATTGCAAGAACTTTTATAAAAATATAGTTATATTTTTCAATTCGTTTGTCATATTTTGATAATTTTTTTAATGTATATTTTATTTCTTAATTATAATGGTCATTGTGTTACCTTGCTATCATTGCAATTTCTCGAGCATATAAGGTATGAAAAATTTTTGCAATAACATTATATATTTACAAAAAATATAGAGAAAATTCTAAGAAATAAAATTTTAAAGTGAAGTGTTAAAGAGTAGAAAAAAAAAGATTTTATATTTAAAATTTTAAGGATGGTTGAAAAAAAATTGAGAAAATTATGGATAATAATAGGTCTTAATAAAGATAAAATTAAAATTTAAATCAAATATAATTATAAAAAATTAAATAATAGTATATACAAGTAGTTTAAAATCGAAGAGAAAGAAAAAGAAGAATAAAATGGTGTCAAATTTCAAAAAGGGATGGAAAGACAAAAAATCCAATTTTTTTCAAATGATATTTCTCATAAATTTCTTAGTTCTAGATGGTTTGCATTTAGCTAGGGCTAAATTGTCCAAATATTTTTCTCAATTTTAAGTTATTTGAGAATTAGTCTCTTGATTTTTAATTTCAAATTAGATATGTATCCAACTATTTTTAATTTGAAATTATACTTTTTTTCTCGTTAAGTTTTTATTAATATTAATTGTGAAAGTACAAATGACTTGTATGAAGTTGACTTTTTTAATAGTTAAAAATGTGTTCAAATTTGAGAATGATTTGTTTTTTCTTCAAAACTATGCTACGGGCCGTATAAAATAAATTTATTTTGGTTTGATAGCATGTATTATATTGTTGGTCAACTAAAATAGATAAAATTAAAGGTAAAAGAAAAAATTTCATCTAATTTTAAAATTTTATATTTAATTTATTTATTTTTATAATTTTTCATAAATTGTGGTTAAAAAACCATGATTTATTATTCATTGTGCATTTATTCCTAAATAAAACTTGCACTAATATAAATATAAAATTTAAAAAAACATCTTAATATTTTCTTTCATAAGATTTCATTGAAGAAATAAAGCAACAATTAATGTAAAAACTTATATAAAAATTAAGAAATGATTTTTTTTTTTTGTTTAAAGTCGATAAGAATATTAATTTTTTTTTGAAAATATGTACCTTTGATTTTTATATATTTATATAAAAAATAATCAATAATATTAATATAAAAAATGTAATTGAGTTATTAGATAGTCATTCTAAAATATTACTTTAAATATTTTATTTGAAAGAAATTAATTTTATAATATTAAAAAAAATTAATAGCAAATAGTTAATATTATGTGTATAGATGCATAATTAATTTTTATAAAATCAATGATATCATTTTTTTTTATATACATCATGACCATACAAAGGAGGCTAAATTGTGTATAATAAATCAAAAAAATATTTTTAAAAAACTTAAATTATAAAGATTATATTGAAATTAATAGATTGCAATAAAAATAACTATAAAATTGATTCGATAAATTTTGATTATATAAAGAATAAGCAAATAAAAGGCATAAATTTTATTTTTTAATTGATTATTTATTTTTATAAAAAAAATTGTTCAAAAATCCATGTTTGTAGAAAAATAAATTATATTTGTTAACAAATAAAATTACATAAAAAAATAAAAAATTAATTTAATGAGAATTTTTAATAAAAAAAATTAAATTAAAGATATCAATTTTAAACAATAAAAATATTACAATCCGATATATATGTTGATTCTAAAATTTAAAAACGTATAATATATGTTTCCTAATAGCCAGCCTATATAGAAAATTGAAAAAAAAATATTATATTTTCATAATTTTCACACTAATTCTATAAAATAAAAAATTAAAATAAATTATTGAAAAAAACAAATAAAAAATATATATCTTTGATAAATATTAAGAATCAAAATACATAAGATATAAATTCGTATACGAAATTAAAATAAATTGCTGAAAAAAGAAAAAGCAAAAGCAAAAATTTATCTTTGGAAACACAGGATATCAAAATAGTGCATAAATGTAAAATTTGTATACAAATGCAAAATATCACGAAAATATCAAAATAGCATAGATAAATCTAACTAATGGTTAATGAATAGCGAATCACTCCAACTTTTTTTTTAATTGGACCAGAAAGACGAATTGGCTCTGAATGCGAAACGCAAGTAGAGTTGAGGATCCCCGGTCTAATGCTTGAGACAAACACTACTGTAAGAATCAAACAACACCCTTTAAAAAAAAAAATCAAACAACAGTCACAGATCTCAAATAGTGATTTAAGAAATGGAGCTGAAAGTATATGTAGATCGTTTGTCACAGCCTTCAAGGGCAATCGTCATCTTCTGCAAGTAATCTTTTACCTTTTTAATTCACTCTGTAATGGTTTCTTCTTGATGTAAAAATCACACACCGCAAATTTTTGAACTTGGGCTCTTTTTTATTTGAATAATATGTTTCGTCTGGGTTTCATATGTTTATTTTTATAGAGTAAACAAGATAGACTTTGAAGAGGTTGGAGTTGAGTTAGTGAAGGGTCAACATTTAACTCCTCAATTCAAAGGTACACCTTAATCAAATATTCCTTCTCTCTACGTGTCTATGTAAGTGTAAACGTGGTTTAAAATTTTTTTTTTTTTACTAAAAGTTGAGGGTTTTGTTGATTTTTAGCAAAATTGAGACCACCCCAGATGGAAATTATGGGGATCAAGTGTTTTGGGTGATTAAATTTGTGCTAGTGAATGATCTGTGTTTATCAAGAAAGTTGAGACAGTCATCTGTGATTCTTGATTGTGATTTCAGAAATAAATCCTATGGGAAAAGTGCCAGCGATTGTAGTTGATGGAAAATTCAAGCTTTTTGAGAGGTAACTTTAAGCACAAACTGTCAGTTGCCTGCGCGTCCTTGTAATCTATCTCTTATGTTTGGTTCCTGGAAATCTAGGACTTGAGTTTGCTGCTAGCAACTCTGTTCTACTATATAATTTTATAAATGTCCAGTTTTTGTAAATTTGTAATACCATGTGAGAATTTTTACTTCTTTTGACCCTTGAAATTTGTATTCATCAATTTAATTTTTAAATTGTCGATTGGTCTTTGCAGTCATGCAATCCTAATTTTCCTTGCTTCTGCATTTCCTGGAGTTGCTGATCACTGGTAAGTATAGTTGGTAATGTGTATATTGACCGTGATGAATTTTGTATAGCCACTGCAATGAATTTTGTATATTTGTATGTGAAATAGTGGCTTAGAATGTATGAAATACATAATGGAAAAAGGCATGAAATGATTATTGGCAATGGCAGATTTGATGTCAGCTTTGATGTCCTCAATACCTAAAGAAAAGCTTCAGACAAAAGCAAGGAACACTTCTCTTACCCTAAGAGTTCTAGGCGACATTCTTGATCTGTGTTATCTTTTATTAAATGAAGGCAGATTTTGTACATTAATGATTCATATTTAAATGGAAAAAAATGGACAACATGACAATAGTCATTTTTCTATGTTCTGAAACGTACTTACTGGTTAGATGAGTCAGATACTTGTTATAATCACACTAAATAAGCTTGCTAGTTTGTTTATAATGCAGGTGACAATGTGTGTTAGTCTGCATGTGCTTTCAGTTGAAGGATTTAGTGTATTCAAAATGACTAATTGAACATCATATATGATTTCTAGATTTGTATGATGGTGACCAGTTCTTAACATGCTTTCTTGTTCACACTGTAAGGTATCCGGCTGATCATTACAAGAGAGCTGAAATCCACTCGATTTTGGATTGGCATCACTCCAACTTACGCAGTGGTTCAAGTACGTCATATTAAATTTGATCTGAAACATTTGTTGGAAGTGTTATTCATATTGTTTATGTCATCTGGTTCTGATTTGGAAAATGGTGAAATAAACAAACTGGACTGTATTTCATTGGCTCTAGCTACCTATTTCTGTCCTTGCAACTTCCATTTTGAAGGTTTTGTTTATTGTCTTTCCCAAGCTTGCCACATTCTGATGAACCAGTGTTTTTCAATTTGATGCTTCTTCAGCTGGGTTTGTTCAGAATACTGTGCTAGCACCTGTATTTGGGCGACCTCTGAATCCACAAGCAGCTGCTGAGGCCGAGAAAGTTCTATCCTCATCCCTCTCAAAGATAGAGGCTATGTGGCTTAAAGAGAGTGGCCGGTTCTTGCTAGGCAGCAGTCAACCGTCTATAGCCGACCTAAGCCTTGTCTGTGAGATAATGCAACTAGAGGTATGCAGATATGACTCACCATTTCTATGCAATATAATTAGTGTTGGTCCTATGGGAGAAAGTTCGATGGAAGTGAGATTTTGCTAATGTTTTGGATAGTCCGTAGTTTGTTGGGGTGTGAGGATTTAACTAATTTGACAACAATGAAAAGCCCTCGCTCCCTCTTTCATCCCTTTATAACACCCAAAGGCACTCTCATTTTTTACCATCACAACCACAACAAAGTATTCTGGTGAGAGACAAAATTTGGATATGGTAGCAACGTGTTTGATGTCTTCTTGGCAGTTTTTTGAAGTCCAGTTCTCTTTATTAGAGCTCCACTTAATGCTCATTGATGCAGAAAGAGATTCTTTGTCCATAAGAATGTTGCTGCTTGCATGCTTTTACATTAATTTTTCGTGTATGTTTAGCCCAATAGCCATAAGAAATTAAGCAGATATGCAGAGTCAACCTCCTTACTTTATTGATGTGTGGGAGGCCTCTCTCCTTAAGTTCATGTGTTTGTTTAAATAGAGCTGAAACCTAGACCTTGTTGCTTTTGTCATTGTTTCTAGGATTAATGGTATTTCCCCTTGTATGCACAAATTCATTATATGACAGGTTGGGCAGAAATTTCTTGCCTTCCTTTATCTTTCCTGAAGCATATATACCCCATATGCACACGCACACTTTTATGCTCACTCTAAACCATAGTAAGGTGGGAATCTTTGTTGCTTTAAACTTGCCTCCGAACCTCTATTTGCATTTGGTTTCTGAGGAAAAGAAAGTTGCTGAGTAAAAGGCCTTTCTTATATTAAAGTTAACTTTTTTTTTTGGGTTTCAGTTTGTGGATGAAACGGATCGCACTCGCATACTTGGTCCATACAAGAAGGTTCAGCAGTGGGTTGAGGATACCAAAAATGCAACAAAGCCCCACTTTGATGAAGTGCATCAAACCCTCTTTGGAGCCGTAGCTAAACTACAGAAGCAACCAGTAGTCGAGTAAAACCAGCAAGATATGTAAAAAAGTGTTTGTTTTAAATCGTTCAGAATATATGCAGCATGCGTTTTCTTGGTTCATCCTGTAGAAGTTTGAGGCAAGAATTTTATACCGCACGACTGGAGCAAATAATGAGGTGAACCTTAGCATATTAGTAATTTACGTACTTTTCTTGCAATGTTCTGTATCTAAAATTCGGGCTTGAAAGAAACGATGTATTGGACAGATATGTTGTGAAACTTTTTGGATGACAAATTGTGGCAATATTATGTGTTTAGACTTTTGAATGATTAAACTATCAGCCCTGCAGGATTGTTTGTTGTGCAATTTTGATTAGAGTGCTGTCGAGTGCCTTAAAGATTTTCTAGTATGTGAGAAACGAAAGGCAATATAACCCATGTCACGAATCTTCAGGAGGATTATCGTCAAACATAGTATGCAATTAATTTTGTTTTTTATTGGAGCATCCAATCATATATTTAGCTGAGAATGCGAAGAAATTAGAGAACCAGTAAAAGCAGAAGGGACTAGGCAGGGAGGGGTTTCTTTGTCAAAAATATTTTGGAAATGCCTGATGGTGCGGGTCGTACAGCACTATGATACCATCTTGGCACATGTCAACAATCATGGTGCATGTTGACTGTCCATATTAAAAAGTGCACATATTTCTTCATATATATATATATAAAAGAAAGAAATGAAAAGAAACGATTTCTTTTGAATTTGAACGAAGCCATGAAAATATCAGAGAAATCAAAATAATTTGTGAATGTACAAAAAAATAAATTTTATATAATGGTGAGAAGTGTTTACAATTAGATGGTACTAGATTAATGCGTGCTTTACCCATGATAAAATCAATTCAATGTTGAATCACAAACTATTCTTTTTTGTTTCTGTAAAAAAGTATGGAAATTGAAAAGATTGTAAAGGTTCGAATTTGTTTTCTTTTGTTGTTCTGACAATAGATGGTTATTTAAAGAAGAGAAGAGAATATAAATTTGAGCGATTGTAAAAGGTATGTTTTTTACTTGTACTAAAAAGAATATATGTAAATATTCAATAACATTAATGAGACTTAAGCGGCAAAGCATAAAGTATATATAAGTTATAAAAAAAAAAAAAATTTAACTTATTATAGCTCGTCATTTCATTCATTTAAAAGTACAGAAACATATATTTTTGTGCAACTAAATAATTACATGAAATGTTTGAAGGCATATTCGAACAAGTAAAATAATCAAGAATAAATATTTATTATTTATTTGTTTTGAAATAGTAAAGCGTGAGGTGGTACTTCTGGATATGAGGTTGAATGGAAAAATAAACATTTCTTGTCAAACTTTTGTATTAGCAGTGGGTGTGCATAACAAATTATAAATGATTGTTTTTTTTTCATCTTCCAAATTTGGCTCGCACATGTTGTATTAAAAGGAGAACAAAAATTATAATTAACTCTTGAATTGGCCTAGGCATGAAGATGGATGAAATTCAAGTGTTTGGTAAGTTGTTTTGTTGCAAGGACTAAGGGAATCATGCAAATGAGGAAAAAAATTAGATACAAATAAGCAAGTTGTGGTTAAGAAGTTAGTAAAATGCCTTTTATGTGATATTTTTAGAAGCAAAATAATAATAATAAATCATCTAATAGAAGTAATAATAAGAATTAGTATATTACTTAAAGTATAATGTTGAAAAAAAAATTAATCATGGTATAAAAGTTTGCAAATTTTGAGTTAGATATGATGTAAATACACAAATAAAATAAAAATATTAAGATGAAGAATATCAAGTATAACATCGTTCTTGAATAACTAAATGCCACATGTACATATACTCTAACCCATATCAAGTTAAGAAGCATAAAATGAACTACAAAATGCCAAACGTAGGTATATTCTAACACATATAAGGTTAAGAAGCATATAATCCTTGTGAGGAGTAAAATATTGTGGTTGTTAATTTTGTTAGTCATCATTCAATAATTTTTTTTTGGAGGGTGCCATGCAAGGAGGAGCTTGTATTTGTAATGATTTTATGTAAAAGGACTTTTTTTTTTTTTTGACCTATTGCAGGATGAAGGTTGGTGATATATATATATATTTGTGGCTAAAAATTTGTATTTTTCATTTATTGTTTATTAAATAAATTGATCGGTCACCTAAGTATTGTCATTGAATTATTTATTATCATACATAAATAGGTAGAAACATGTGTAGTGTATGAAGTTTACGTCTTTAACTATCATGCATTAATAAATTTTCAATGAATAGTAATTTATGTTTAGTCTAATTAAAGTGTTTTGACATGTTAAAAAAACAAAACAATTACTAACTCAATGTTAGATTAACTCAATTGTTTACTACATAGCATCACTTGATAAAGTAATTTTTCTGTCATGCATTAATGAATAGTACCTTTTGTTTAGTTTGATTAAAGTAGTGGTACATGTTTTGACATGTTAAAGAAGTAAAACAATTGCTAACGCAATGTCAAATTAACTCAATTGTTTACTTACATTAGTTGAGTTGTAAAGCATCACTTGATAGGGTAATTTATTCTTGCTATGCGTTAAATAAGTTTTAAATAAAATAAGTTTATGTGATTGTATTTGTGAATATTTATTTGTGCTTGTAGTGGGTCTCAATCATGGGCAATATATATAATTTTTTCCCATGTATGAATTGACTATCAATTATGTCTTTGGTGGTTATATAAGATTATTAATGCAATTGTTTTAACATATTATGTAAGACTATAGCTTTGCTTTCCCTATAGACAGTCTATAAATTACTATATAAAATTTTGTTTTCCTTGTAAAAGAGGAAATTTTTTTCTTTACGTTTTTTTTTGTTATATGTGTAAATTAAAAATGCATAGTTTGTATAGCATGTAGGAAGTAGATAATCTATACATGTGATTTGCTTGTTCAATTATTAACCGATCTATAACTATTCTTATATGTAAACATGGATGTGTGTATAGACGGACAATCTAATTTACTCATTATGATAAATCAAGTTTTAAAAATTTTTTTGAGAATTAAAGGTAAAGAACGTCCGAATTGTAAGTATATGTGTATTTAGTAAGTTTTCATGAAATTCAAAAAAAAAAAAAAGATGTTTGGAACTAAATAATAGATAGTACTCAGTTGTTTAGTTTAATTATTTATAATAGTTTTATCGTCTTCAATTGTATTTATTAACATGCAACTCATGAGAATTAATTAAATATATTTGATAATAAAGTTTAGGTAGGCATTGAATATGCCTTGGTATATAGCTAGATTTTTTATTTGGAATCTGCTTTATCCTATAATTCAAAATAGGTGTTATTTGTGAAAGAATAGTAGGTTTGGATAATATTTGAAAAAAAACACATTTATTTTTAGTCTTTTTTTTTTTTTTATCAAACTATTATGCATTGAAATAAGCTAAAATTTATCATATTCGAGACTAATATATTGTGGGATAAATTATAAAAGAATGTATTCCATGTTTTTAAAATTTCAAAGCAAGGAAAAAAATTAACAACTCAATTTCCAAAGACAATATCAATTTCATATTTTTTAAACTTAAAATTGAGAAGAAAAAAAAATGCCAACGGCACAATGTGCAAAAGATATATATATATATATATATATATATATATATATCACAAATGCACTATTGTTCTTAGGTAATTGTTTACAAAAGTAGCCTTGTAAACCATCAATTTGTTAAAAAAGAATGCATATAACAAATATTTACACGTTGTTAAACAACAAACCATGTAATTTATGACCTTGTATCCTTCCATGCCGTCTAGTTCTATCTTAGCATGAATTTCATTGCAAAAGTAGAAAATGATGAACGAATGTTGGATAATTGAGTAATATACTTTTTCTTCCACCATTGCCAATGCACGATCCTTATGTACGATCAACCTGAAGGAACAAAAATTAAAGTCCTTTTCATGTAGTTTGATAATTATTTGGATCTTGTTTTTTTATTCCTAACAATTGACCTTCTCCTGATTTGGAGTAAGCAACGATTGTTTGAGTTTTGAATCTAATGCATGCAGTTTTGTTAGGTCAAGCAAGTTAGAAGCAGCATGTCTATGTACAGCCAAAGAAAATTCTTAGGTGGATCTGTCAATAACATCGACGTATTGATGATTTTGGAAAGCAGTTATTTTTTTAGTAAAAAATAGCTTCTTTTTTTTTTTAAGGAGCTGTAGTATGTTCAAGATCGATTACAATTTGTTAAGTTGTTTGTCAAGTCGTCTAGACTGTATCTTTTGTTGAGATGAAAGTAATTAAGGTGATTTGTTCTTGTGGTATAGCAAGCGACCTATATATGCAGAAAATAAAACCTATTAATATTGAACCCATAAGATTTGTAGAATTTATAAAAGGTAAGTAATAAAAGTGGTGAAAAATATGAAATTTTCTAGATGTATTGAAGTAGCTATCAATTGCATCTATTAACTGCATATTTTTCAATGTATTTGCAAATGTAAAAGGGATAGTTTTTGATGTGTAAATAAAAAAAGATAATAGTTCTTAAGGGATACCCTGTGTTGGTATGCTATATGTATTATCAAGTAAATTAAAGTCTTTGCTTTGTTTAAAGGTAACTAGGATCGATGCTCAAATTAGCATTCGGGACACCACTAATCGATGAAGTTGTTGATGCAATTGATGCATGAGTTTCTTTAATGGATGGAGTTTCAGGTATATCTACCTTTTTGATGATTGATTAGAAATAGCTTTAGAATTGATTGACTTCATGGAAGAACAATCATCATGTGTTTGTTTGAGCGTAAGGTTAACTTATGTTATATTGATAGTATCATCATCAAAGATGTTGTTTACGACGTTATCACAATACGTATTTGTAGATTTGAACATGTCAAAGTGCATTTGAAAAACCTAAGCTTTATTAGTTTTTCAATCATCGAAGGAACAATGGTGTGAGGGTAATGAAGCCCTTATCAATCACATAATAATGTGTAGAGTTTCCAAT